GAGCATAGATTTGGAAAGACCCTTGCCCCGTCACTAAGCCACATGTTTGAGAGGGTTGGGGGCATTTCCTAGGGAAGCCTGCCTGGCCTAGAGGAAGAAGCGTCAAGTGCTAGGCAGAATAATTCCTATTCATTATGCTGACTATTCCTCATCTGATACCAATTAGTTAGGAATTCCCTTTAAATCTGAGACAGAGCATAACCTACCATTCTTATGTTCTGTAATTGTAACACTTCATTTTAAACGATTTTATAGTTTGTCTTTGATATCTTTTTTGTTGTTGTTGTTGTTCCAGGACTCAAACCCATGACACTGAACTATAACTCTGACCCTCGCTTTGATTTTTTGATCCGTTCCATGAATCAACTTCTCAGGGTTGAAAATACTATTCCTTTTAAATATTTTAAATATGTTTTTAAAAGATCGACTAATAGAGTTATTTATGAAACAATGTGAAAATTACTGACCTGTTGCCAAATTCTCTAAATCCCTAGTCAATAGATATCACAGTTTGGTTTGCATCCTTCTGATTCTTTTCCTGTTGTCATAGCACACATATGCATACACACATACATGCATAAAATTTTTAAAATCATATGATTCTTTGTACAATGTTCTGCAACTTTATTTTCCTTGTTTCCACATATTAATTTTTATCTATTTATCTATCATCTTCTGTGGTGGATTGATACCGGGTGGTCAACTGGGTAACACCCAGATGAACTGACCCACGTGGTGTTGGGTATGGAAGGCCCACCTGAGAATTGTTTCACAGCAGAAGGGCAGAAATGGAGTGGACGAGAATGTGCTGTTGATTCTCTTGGAGAAGCTTGTCATACTAGCTTTCCTGATCTGAACTTGGTTGCTCTCATCATTGGAGAGACTTGGGACCTGGGCATTGCTGACAATGACTGTGGTTCTTTTCTAGGGAGTTCTGATCCTTCTTTTGAACATCACTCCTGTGCAGATCCTTCAGCCTGCTGGCACAGATACTTCATCCTGTTGGTGCAGACTTTATATCTCCACTACTGACCTTTGGACATTCCCAGTGAAGATTCTTGATACAGACTTGCATAATACATTGTGGGCTCTAGGCCTTGAGTTGGACTTGTGAAAAACGTTGTCATGGGCTGTAGGTCTTCAGCTGAATTCATGCAGACCACTGCTGTGGGATTGGGGGCCTCAGCTGGATTCTTTGGGGCTCTAGCATGTGGACAGGTCTCCTGCATTGTTTTGCATTTGACTTTTGGAATGAATAATAAAATAATCCTATAAATTGTTTCCCTTGTAAACTCTGACTCTATCAGCTTCCTCCTGCTAAATGGATGCATAGTACTTCTGTTATATAGAGATGACAAAATTTGTTTAACCAGTTCCCTTTTATTGCACAGGTAAGTTGCTTTTATCTTCAATATTTCAAATCAAAGGAAATTTATGTTTCCAATAGGGTGTAAGGATATAGGATATATATCTTTGTGGATACATGTTGGTATCTGTGTGTAAACACATCTAAAAATAACAATTCTTAGAAATGGATAGTTGGCTAAAGAGTACAGTACTCTATTATAGTTAATCATTTTGCTACCATCTCTATTGTTCAATCTGCCCTAGATTTATGATTGCTACATTTCCTTTCATTTCTTGCTAACATATATTAACATGCTTTACAATTTGATTGTAATTTTTTTTTGAGTCCTCCCATTACAGAGAAGTTAGAAGATTCTTCTGTTCTCTTACATAGTATGAAGTCATTTCCTTGTGCTTGTTGTTTGGCTTCATTTTTTTGTATATCTGTTGTCCATATACTTTGCTGATGCTTTTTATGTGTTGAGGCTTTGTATTAATCTTTTATTATATTCAATAGAGAAATAAATCTGTGATTTGTTATTCTGGCATTTTGGGTGAGCTCTTTAGTGAAATGTATTAAAAATAGACTATATATATGAAATGTATCATTGTAGTTTTCCAAAATGGCAGTTTTAGAATTTTAATAATTAAATTTTCTATTTCAGTTGAATATTAGGCATAAGAACAATCTCATTAGAACTCATTGCACATACTGAGGGGCTTCTTGCTCCACCAGATCAACAGTAGGAAAATGCAGTCATACGGAGACGATCTCAGTGGGTCAGAGGACCGTACTCCTGCCCTCCATAAGCAGAATCATCTCCACACCTTGGGTCAGTATCGCAGGGCTGTCCCACAACGTGCTCGTGACTGGGAGCCAATATGTCCCTGAGCACTTTTAGAGGGAGCTTCTATGAGTAAATTATCTTATCTACCTTGATATAACTGTCAGCAGTAAATAAGTAAATAGGTTATAGAAAAGCTAACAAACTCCCTGTGAATGAAGTGTCCAAACTACATTTATTTCTTTGACTTTATACTTTGTTTGTTTGCTGGTTTATTATTATTTTTTGATTCTTAGCTATATTCTAGGAAAGCAATGTAACTGAATTTTAAATATTCACATATATAGAGAGGCGTTACATTACCATGCACATGTAACTATGAACTCTATATATAATGTTGAGTAAACACATATATTATATTAATATAGAGAATTTATATGCCTAAAATATATAAAAATTATATATAAATATATATATTAACATACATAGATACTTATATAGGTACTAACATACATATATATAATTTAGATGAACTTCAGATATTAGGAAAAGAAAAATAGTATGATGATTTTTCAGCAAATGGTGTTACCCTTGAATGGAGCACCCTAGTGAATGGAGCACCATAGAAAATGCACTACACTGCCTGCACTTAGAGAAGAAACTGAAACTGCATGTGCAGCAGCCTCAGTGGCAGAGGTCATCCAAGCAGCAATTCACCACACTAACAGACATCTGGAAGCTAATGGCCACCACTGTGAGACCTCTTGTAATTGTAGAGGCCAAAGGTAATTTCTATTAATCTCATGATGCCTCATTAAATTTAGTATTAATATATTGGTACAATTTTTTTCTGAAGTGTGTATACATTTTTTTGCAGACTGCATATACACCATATACATATGTATATATATGTATGTATACATGTCTATATATTATATTTAATCTAATTGTAATATCTAGCAATCTAGGATGACAGTATATCGTGTGTGTGTGTGTGTGTGTGTGTGTGTGTATCTTTTTGACACAGGGTTTCACTATGCAGTTCAGGCCGGCCTTGAACTTAGTCCAGCTGGCCTTGAGCTTGTTTCATAGTCATTCTGCTGTCTCAGCATCCCAAGTGCTTGGATTATAGGCATGTGCCAGAATGCCCAGGCAGAATCATAGTGTATCTTAAATGAATATATTTTTAAATGCCGTAATATAAAAGGAAATGTCATCATACTCAAATATTAGAGCATTGAAACAAAACATGTTCACATAGTCCAAAAAAATTGAAATATTATTCTCACCATTTGTCCAGCAGATACCTGATTTTTCTTTTCCAGTAAACCAATTTTCTGAATTTATTATGTCTCTACAGGAGTATTTTAAGTACATATGTTATGGTTTGTGTGTGGATGCTCCCTCAAAACTTCATGAGTCATGGGGGCAGGTTTTTTTGGAGATGGATGAATCTAGTTTGTAAGTGATTCATGGTCCAGTTATGCAATTATGGTGTGAGTGTTATACCTGCTCAAGGGCCAATAGGCTTCATACAATATGAAAGACACATAGAATCTTGTCTCTGTCTCTATGCCTATCTCTCTGTGTGTCTGTGTCTCTGTTTCTGTGTCTCTCTCTCTCTCTCTCTCTCTCTCTCTCTCTCTCTCTCTCTCACTGCTTTGCTGTCTTCTGCAACCGTAAAATGTTGCCCCTCTGCCATGTGCCACCCTGCCTTGGAGCCAGATGATTGTGGGTTGAAACCTCTACATACTGTGAGCTAAATAAATCTTTCCCTGCTTAATCTTGGATGTCTCCTAATCTGTCCCAGCAATGAGAGAAAGGTATCTAAGACAGTGTATAAGCAAATGCTGCAGATGCATCTCTCCCTTCGTGTAAATAGTAGTAAATTAAACGTATGTCCCAGACCTTGTGCATCATTGTGTATCTATGTGTGAGGAATTTCTTTTTCCTTTTTTAATGGTTTCAGAATAATTCACTATATGAGGGCTCCTTGATTTATTTTACTTCTCCCTACTGATTAATATTTATGCTGTTTTCAATCTTTTCCTCTTGTGACCCAGCTAATAAGCAAACAGCTACATCATTTCCCTATACCAGCATATCTGAATGACATCTCTTACAAGAGGGAGTGGTAAGCCAAAGGGCATGGGTGTGTGCAATTTAGACAGATGAGGTAAATTTGCTCTTCATGCTGTGCACTAACTATATGTATATGTATATATATATATATATATATATATATATATATATATACTAACTGCTTCCTTGCAGTGTATTACAAAACATGTAAACATTTACCAGTTTAATAAGTGAAAATGGCATTTCAATCTACTTTTAATTTAGATTGTTCTCCTTATTAGTGAAGATGAAAACATTGCTATATGTACTTATCTTGTGTCCATTTTCCCATTGGGCTATTATAGTTTTTTTTTTCTTGCTTTGTAAGAGCTCTTTATACATTGGGTAAATCAACATTTTATAACATGGGTTCCAAATATAAACCTCAATTTTTTCACTTATTTTTAATTCATCTTTGCCACATCTAATTGTGCTCATTGTGCACGGTTGGTGCATGTACATCACATTTTCTTTTGGCATCTTCTTCTCTTGCCCACTTCCCCACCCTCCACCTTTTGCTGACTTTCCCATATGCAAAAGATTTATTTCCCTATTTTCTTTTATCTATCTCTTATTTGGTCTTTAATTTATTTATCCTTTAGATTTCTCATGAGAGAAACCATGTGATATTTAATCTTGTGCATCTGATTTATTTCACCTAACATGTTTTCAATATGCATCCATTTTCCTACAAATGCCTCGGATTTGTTCTTCCTTATACCAGAGTAATATTCTTTTATGCATAGATACCACATTTTCTTTGTTTATTTGTTTGTTATGGATATACAGGCTGCTTCCTACACTTGTTACTTTAAGAGTTCTTCCCATTTGTCTTCCAGCAGATTGTTATTTTGACCTTTGATCCATTTAGACTTTAGTGCCTGATGAGAGATATGGGTCTAGCTTCAATCTTCTGCATGTGGAAAGCCAGTTATCCCAGCACCATTTTCTAAAGATGCTATCATTCCTCCAGCACACATTCTGGTCCATTTGTCAAAGATCCTTTGCTGAGATGCCAGCCCTTTCCTGTGAGTTGGTGTCATTTGCAGACTGTGCAGGAGGAGAACAAGAAGCCAACAAGAAACGAAGCCCTTCCTGCGAGTTGGTACCATGTGTGGGTTGCTGGGAGGAGAACAAGATGCCAGCCTTTTCCTGTGAGTCAGCGCCATTCACAGACTGTGGGGGAGGGGAACAGGAATCCAACAAGAAGCCAAGCTCTTCCTGTGAGTCAGTGCCACGTGCAGGCCACTGAGAGGAGAACCAGATGCCAGCCCCTTCCACTGCATGGGCTGAGAGACTAGAAGAACAAATGCATCCCCCAATCACCGACAAGGGACGGGCTGATTCAAAGAAACTCAGGCCAAGAGGATAGCTTTTGAGGTAAAACAAAATGAATACTACTGATTCACTGTCAGTGTTTCATTGTGTTTCACAGTGATTCAAAGTCAGTGTCTCACTGACTTTGTAGGTCTAAAGCCAGTAGTCTGATCATCTATTTAGAGGATAAAAATATACAACATAGCATCTATGAGGATGCTCCTTCTGAAGGTGATAGCCATAGTTAACTCCCTATTATCTTGTTTTGAATTCTGGTGTCATTTTCATTGTTTTATTTGGCTGAGTTTTATTCTGCTTTTTCTTGTTTGATTTTATTATGTCTGATGGCATGGGCAGTTATTTCAAAGATAACAAGACATATTACGGTAGCCATTTTGGGTTTCCTGTTACCTTGTTTTGAAGTCCTTTATTGCATTCATTGTTTTATTTTTATTGGTTCTATCCTGCTCTATTTTGCTTGAGTTTATTACATCTGAAAGTATGGGCAGCTATTTTGAAGACAATGAGAGGCATTATAATAACCACTATTGATTTCCTATTATCTTGTTTTGAAGTTCTATATCACACTAATTTGTTTTAATTGGATTTATTCTGCTTAGCTTTACTCTCTTTAAAATAAACATTACATAATTTAAGTAATCCCCTCCCCTAAAATAAAAGCTCCTTTGTCAAAGATCAGGTGGCGGAATGTATCTGGGATTGTTTCTGGGGTCTCTATGCTGTCCCTTTAATCCACTTGTCTGTTTTTGGGCCAGTACCATGCTGTTATTATCACTAGCTCAGTAATATAACTTGAACTCATGTATCATGATGCCTCCTGCTTTGCTCTTGTTGCAAACAAAAGCTGTAGCTGTTCTGAGTCTTTTTTTTTTTTTTTTTTTGTACGGGGAATTGAGCTCAGGACCTTGCACTTGCCAGGCAGGCGTTACACTGGCACTGCTGAGCTGTATCCCCAGGTGCAATTTGGGTATCTTCTTGATCCATATGCCTCTGAGAATTGTTTTATCTCGTTCTTTTCTTTTCTTTTTTTTAAATCGGTACCGGGGATTGAACTCACGACCGCCTGCTTGCAAGACAGGTGCTTATGCCGCTGAGCTAAATCCCCAGCCCGTTTTATCTAGTTCTGTAAGGAATGCTATTGGTATTTTGATTGTGATTCCATTAAATCTACATATCAGTTTTGGTAGTATAGCCATTTTGACAATAATGGTCTTGTCTATCCAGAAATAGGGGGTATCTTTCCTTCATTTATTTTTATTTTTGTTTGTACTTTGAGGTGGTTATGAACCGTAGTGACTTCTTTTCAAAAATGTTTCATAAAGTTGTATTTTTCAACCTTTTCTTTTGTTATTTTCATGCTTTATTGTTTGCTTAAAAATATCTTATCCACTACCATGTGCATTTTATTACTGTTTTAAAGAGTGAAGAGCCCAACAATCTATCAGCCTTGTCAGTCTATGAAAAAGACAGGTCCTTATTTTCACAGTGGGTGAGATGGGTTGTAATTTGCCATAACAGGTACCCACGCATCTTCACCTTGAAAATGTAGCATTTCAAGGCTTAGTCAGGGTTGACGGTTCCTTTTCTACTTTTGCAGGCTTTGTACTGCTGCCAGAGAATCTCCTCAGCATTTGCTTTGAATGCTGTCTTCAGTGCCTCTTTTCCTGCATCCTCGCCAATCAGGGGAATCCGATGTGACTTATTCCAGGCTGGCAATCTGTCCTAATCACGGAGCCAGGGTTCTGTGACAGTGGGATCTTTTCTTACATTAATGTTTCATTTTTTATATTTAAATATTTTTTCAGTCTTTATTATTATTAGTACATGCTTGTAGTGCAAGCTGATTACAGTCCTAGTGGGAAGTTGGTCTGTGTACCTGATACATACATCTCCATTCTTCTTTCATTCCCTTACTCTCCTTTCCTTCCCACCCTCCCTTGATCTTTGATCTCCTTCGCATTTGAAAAAGATCTACTTCCTATTATTTGTCTTTTATTTTCCTCTTTATTCATATATTTACTTTCTCATATAAGAAAAACTATTTAATGTTTAAGCTCACGTGTCTGATTTATTTTGCATAAGTCTGAAGCTGAATCCATTTTCCTATAAATTACTGAAATTTATCCTTCTGTATAGCAGAACAGTATTGCACTGCATATAAATAACACATTTCCTTTGGCCCATTTCAAACCTATTTAACAATGTAAATTTAACTTAATATTTTCTAGATAATTACAGTTTTTGTCACCATTTGAATAATTCATCTCTTTCCAGTAACATTACCTGAATATTTTAATTATAACAATATAATTTGTTTATAATAGTGCTTCCTTCTTATACGTCCATGAAATATTTTGACTGTTTTTTGCTTTTTATTTTTCCATACAAAATATAATCTTTCTAACTAAAAACAAAAACCTATTGACATTTTAAATGTAGTTGTATGATTTTTGTTTATACAGAAGAAGAGAAAAGTGACCTCTTCGTATTGTTGAGCCCATCTGTGCAAGTCTTTTTTTGTAGTTCCCAAGAACAGTTTAAAGTTTCCTTTATGTGACTCTTGTCTTTTTGAATCTGTTCATAATAATATTATATTCCTTTGTTGACATTTTCAAAATGAGATCCTTTTTCACCACTATATTTTCTAACTGGCCACGGTTTTTAACATGTGAAAGCTTTTGATTCTGAGTATGTTTGGGTTCCATTACTGCTTTTTAGTTTAATTTCTCAGCTTTCAAAATACACATATTATTTGAAAAATGGTTAATTTTTCTTCCCTCCTTCCAGTGTCTTACAGTTGCATTTTTTCTCTTGATTAATTATACTGTCTAATTCACCAGAAATTTTAAGTAATTTACTCGGCTTAGAGGGCAAATATATAGTTAACTCGAAGACCTGTCATTTCATGAGATATGTAACATGTGATGGCTCCCAACAGTTTGATCCATCTTCTCTCCAGGAGCACAGGCAGGAGTCCTGCACTGGAGAAAGGACCTGAGGAATACGGAAATCAGTTTAACAGAAGTTTAGCATAAACAATGAAAGGGGAGGCAGAAAAAAGTCCCTTCCTCACCAACCTTATTGCCTCTGGGGAGAACAGAGACTGAGGCAAATGTCTTCTGCCAGTCTGCCATTCTGGCCAATCTGGCCATTCTGGCCAATCTGAAAGATGGCAGATTTGATTGGCTGTTTTTTCCCTTCAATTTACACATGGCCAAGAAGCCCCAGGCTCTCCTTGGGCTGCAAGTCTGAAAAGATCTTTCCATATCCCAATCTCAGAAATCATTCTGAAGTCCACACTGTTCTTCAATCTCTCTGCCCTATTTTCTCCCACTCTGTTTCATAATACATTCAAATCTTTATTACCCATTCTCTCCCTCAGATTTTTGACTCTCCATAAATCTCTGTATCCACAACTTTTTCTGATTGACTATATTTCTAAGCTTCAAATTCATGGAACCTTAGAAATAGGATTTCTTGGAAGGCATTATTACTAGCTGAGAGGTGTCAGCAGGCAGTGGGAGAAGCCATCTTGCTCTGGGCCAAAAATAAATGGAAATTATGTGTAGTGTGTGTATATTGTAGTATACAAATATACACTTGGCAGGAGAGGAAGGGTAAGCTTGAATGGCAATGGAATGGTTAAGCAAAGATAAGAAAATCATTTATTAGAGCTCATAGTGGCTTTGCAAATGCAACTCTTACATTTCTAATGTCAAGGAATGCAATGGGCTTGCACCACTAGCTGCTATTGTTCAAAAATCTTCATTCATCTTCACTAGGGTCATGTTTCCCAAGAACTACTCTTAGCTGATGATTGTAGCACCAGAGGCAGCTCAGAGAGGCTTAGGACGAGCTTGATGGGATTGATGAACTTTGTTAGAACTTACCTGCAGTCCTAGAATCTTCTGTGAACTCACCCATCTTTCCTCTCTCCTTCACAACACTCACATCTTCATTGGAGTGTGTTGGCTTTCTTTGCCTTCAGGACCTCTTGCTTTCTTCTCTTTCTCCTGCCACACTTGCTGTAAGAAATTTCATAGACTTCTGATCACCTTGATGTCTATTTCATGGAAAGCCCAACCTAGCATGGGGTGGCCTTGCTGTGAATGAGCTCACAGTGTAGTTAGTATTGTCCCTTGTCTCCCTTTCCAGACTTTCTAGTGCTGCTTGATCACATCTTCCTTATTCGCTTAGTGTGACTCATATCTTTGTTCCAATTCTGATTTTCCATCTAGTTTTCCACCTGAGTAAATAAAAGGTATCTGAGCAAACCTAAAGAACTTCAAGATAGGCCATGGTCATACCCTAGGATTTTGTTTCCACCGCAGAAATGTTGCTCATTTAGTGACTTGTTTCCATAATAACCTATTGGAATGGACATTTTCAATGCTCTAGAATTGTGAAATCCAAACCTCAGGAAATAGATGATTAGTATTAATAAAAGATAAAGGAAAAGCACCAGAGACAACTCCACAATATGGGCTATCCATTGACCTTCATTTTACATTCCATCCTGACGGAAGGACAAAGGACAACTCTGTGTACCCCACTGGAGAAAAAAAAATTCTCCGAAGATAAATTCCATAGCTCCTTCTCCATATGCCTAAGGCAAGAAAAGGTGATGCGTGTCATTTACTTCACAGAGCTTAAGTCTCTTATTTTAACCCAGCCTTGTTGGATGCAGAACCAGGCTGATCCAGCCTGGTACCTCTAAACAGAATAGGGGAGAGCCCTTCCTCCTAGTCAAGTGGGGATATATTCCCTTAGAGTCAGGAGAACAGGGTTGCTCTTGCTTCATCAGTAGGGAAGATGACAGTGAGCTTGAACTACTGCCCTGAATCAGCAGACTGAGCTAAGTGCATACATAGGAAGTGTGGGTTATGTTGTGACATCTTCATGCAGGAAGGCCAACTGTGCAGATACAGATATCCTAGCACCAAAAGGGATAAGCTGAACACTCATAGAAGAATTGAAAGTGGTTGAAAAGCAATGTGAATTACACGTGTCCTTCCAGAGTATTGAAGAAGTCATGAATGTGCCCAGTGGCAATGATATCATTTGGACACCTACCACAAAGGGCATTCACAGCTGAGCAAAGAGCAAAGAGTTCCAGGCAACAGTAAAAGACCTCCAACTCTTCCTCCTGTTCTCCCCATTCCTTTGCTTATAGCAGACAATCCTGGGCAGAGATGGGGAATTGGCATGGATCAGTAAGGAGGGATGAAAGAGCAAGCCATGACTTTTCTCCACCTGGAGGTCTCTAAGTTGTTGTTTAGGCATGATAAGAAGAGAAGAAATTCTTTAAATTAGTTGTAATATTAGAGCTCTAATATAGCCAAGATCTGCCCTAAATATCACATAGGGAAGGAGGATTTGATGGAACATGTCAAAGGCAATGGATGGAAAAATATAAATGAAGCACTTTTCTATTTCTGTCCCATTAAAATTAACTTATTTAATAACTTGGCTACAAACCAGTTTATTGGTTTACTTAAAATGGATTTAAATGAACTAAACTAATGAAATGAATAAAACCTTCCAGGGATGCATGTCTTGCTCCTCGTTCAAATCATACTTCTTTTAGGGACAGAACGTTTGAGTGCCTAAGATCTCTCCAGTTTTGTAGGCATCAAATTGTGTAACCTCACAGATCTCTATGTTCCCTAAGTGAGGGAATACACAAATCTCAAGAGGCATCTCTTATGACTTTTTTGTTCTGTTTTTTGATACTGCAAGCTATCACATACCTTCTGATCTGGCCAATGCTGTATATGTTTCGGAGCTTGTGAGCCATACCATCATTGTTAACTATTGCAAGCATTTTTAAAACTAGTTAGTTACAATAAATGAATGGTTGCTTGGCAACCAAAAAGCTGAGGTTTTAAAAGAAAATATTCCGTCACTGTTCAAATTTGAACAGCGAGATTTGTTGACATGTTCTGATTCTGTTGAATTCTTTACGATGGAACCAAACCCTGGGGTAGACAAAAGGAAAAACAAGAGAATGTTCATATTTTACAGCTCAGTTAATTTTAGGAGCGAAGAGAAGAAATGAATTGCATCTTGTTGCCTCGCCTGGCTTAGAACTGCCTGATTTAAGAACAAGTACTAATTAGCTGAAAGTGAAGCTCAGCTGTGGCTTGGCTAAAAATAGGACCTCTTGCAAAAATGTGCTCAGATCTGAGTGAGAAGGAGCTGATTCAGTTTACATGTGAAAACTGGACGCATACTGACAAAACACCATGTGGGGAAAGGGCTTATGAACATTTTGTTAAATGTCAAGGCATTGTGGTAAAGAAATGGCCATCCAGCTTGTCTACAATACAACCAGAAATGAATTCCAGACTGGCACTGTGTGGTAGGACTCTTTCCGTGCAGTATCTCTAGGCAAATCCACTTGGATAGTGAAGGGTCAATTTAATAACAAAGAGAAAGATATGGAAATAAGAAACACATTTTTAATAAAAGAAGGAGAAAAGCAGAACACTCTGGAGCTTTCTAACAGGGCTTGAGGAATGCATATAAGCTTTGAAGAAAATTTAATTTAGTATCCGCTCAAAGCTATTCTAATGACTGAAAGGAGAATTAGCATATTTTATTTTGAAAATCCTCTGTGCTTAGCTTTTGATTGAGCTGGAAATTTTGTTAGAGCAAATAAAGTAGTTTTGGTTCTGATGTTTAAATTAACCTCGTGTTGAGACTTCCTGCTTCAGTTATAATAATGGGGTTTCTTACAGTATTGGAGATGTAGTCATTTTGATGCTACCACTAGTTAATCATACGCATAGACAATGTATTCTGGAAAGATCTACAAGGCACTGGTAGCACAGAGCTGCCTCCATGAAGGGAACCAGATGGCAATAAGTAGCAGTGAGATTGCTTTTCATCCGACCCCGTGATTTTATATTTTTGAACTCTTTTAACATAAATATTTATTTGTAATTCAACAAGCAAATAAAATTCTAAATGAACTCTAAGGTTAATTTCAAATGCATTCAAAGAACGGTGCTATGCTGTGATAGAAAAACAGGACCTGAAATCTTGGACCTGAACTTGAATCCTACAACCTTTTAGTCTTTAGGAGATCTTGGGTTTGTTGTCTGACAGCTCTGACAACTCCCTGTTTTCTTTTTTTGAGTGTAGCATAGCATGAAATAATCTAGTAGTGTCCGTAGGGGTTGATTCCAGGCTTCTCTTTTCATCTTACTGTTTATTAGATTGGAGCATTTCTGAGTTACAATATTTTTAATTTGCGACGGTTTATGGGATTTCATCCTACTGAAAAGTCCAGAAACTTCACTTGATGTCAGGATGCCCGTCAGCCGGCTTCCCCGGCGCTCATAGCTATTCTCCCTGCATTACTGAGAGCGGCCGCGAGGTGGGGATAGAGGCGCACCTCGAAGAAAGCATGACCCTTAGATTTGGCATTGTGGTCTTTAGAGGGCAGTAACCATAATGGGATGGCTTCATTTCTCTTTCAATGAAAAGACCCACACAGGACAAAATCACAAAGGCAGCAGTATTTCTGCTGGTGGGTATGTCGTGCGTCAGAACATCAGCATACTATATTTAAATGTAGCCCACGTCACTGAGTCTGCGTGTTGGCCATCTGTGATGTGCACACGTGTTTGTGGCATCTCTCAGCTGCCACGGTTGGGAAGCGCCAAGAGGGCACTTTGACGTCAGCCAGACCTGAGTTGAAAGACAACTTCTATCACTTCCGAGCTGTTTGCTAACTTCTGTGATCCCCACACAGCTCTCCTGCAAGGTTGAGATGATGGTCTTTTCTTAGGAGGCTCACTATATTAGAAAGGGTGCTGTCACTCAGTAGCAGAATCAAGCTGTATTGTGGTGTGGAGCCCTCTCATCGTTCTCTATTGGGCCCTTTTTCTGTCTTGCTGTCAGCCAGCTGAGCCAGTCCTGCTATACTGTGTACTCATAAACACTCCCTTCTCTCCCACCTCTGCTCCTCACTCCTGTGTCTCTTCCTTTAGCTTCTTCGAGTTTCTCTAGCTCTATTCTCATTGGAGGTGACTTTTCTAATAACAATTACGAATATTCCTGTACTTCATGATGGGGTCTGTCCCATAAGCACATCTTAATTTGAAAATTGCGTAGTTTAAAAATACATTTAATGTGTCTGACCTACTGCGCATCCTAGCTTAGCCCTGCCTGCTTACACATGCCCAGAACACTCACAGTAGCCTGCATTAGAGTGAAATCATTGAATGCAAGCACTATTGCACAATATAATGCTGAATATTTCATGTATACCCGTATGTAGTGTCTTAGTCACTTTCCTTATCCTTGTGACACAATGCATGATACTCACAACCTAAATGAGGAGAGGAATATTTGATTCATGATTTGTACAGGTTTCAGTCTAGGGTCGCATGGCACAGTGTCACTCAAAACACAGCTGCTCAGGTCATGGGGCTCAGGAAGCAGTGTCAAGAGAGGAGCCAGGAAGTTTACTCCATGGTGACCCACCTCTTCAGTCCAGCCCCACCCATCCCATAATCCAGTCACCTTCCTAAAGCCCGGTCTATGAGGACATGAGGCTCTTGGGGATATAAATCTTAACAGATGGTTGTTCTGTGAACACGATGGTAAGAAAAAACCACAAAGCACGATATCCAAATACTGTGGATGCCGCCCCACACTATGGGGTGTCAGATGCTCACCTTCTTCAATGAGGTGCTGAGCACAACAGCTTCCTGCACGGCCCAGCATCAGACACAGGATCATGTGCGTGCCACTTACCTGGAGGAAAATCCAAATTTAAATTTTGAAGTAGGCTTTTACTACATGTGTGTTATTTTCACACCATTTTAAAGCTGAAAATATTCATAAGCCATAAGAATCATATGTCCGGATACCTGAAGTAGAGATTGCGCATTGTTTCTTCTTTACCGGGTCATCAGTCTCTCTCTCTATTCCTCTACATGTCTCGTAGTCTTCAGTGATCTTGGCGCTTATTCACCATCCAGTCTCCAGCTGCCAACCTCATCCAGCCAATTTCCTGTTCACATTTATATTATAAGCATAGTGTGTGTTGACTTTAATGCAAGAGGAAGAATTGTAAATATAATCCATGTGTACATAAGAGATGAGCCGATTCCTATTACTAGACACAGCCAATCCTTTTCTAATTTCCATTTTTAATCTCTATGCTCCACAGTGACTTCTTTCACAGAGTTTATTGTGTAATTCTCTCATAACTCAGAAAGTCTTATTGGCTTACATGCTGTCTTCCTTTCTTCTGCACAGAATTCTGGGAGCACCACTCACCATCCGCACGACCTCCTTCTTTGGAAAGGCCCCCAAATCAGTGCTGCAAAAGTCTATATCTCTGTCTTGTTTTGCTTTCTGTAGCTAAAATACCTGAGGCTGAGCAATTTATGAAGGCTTATCAGCTCAGGTTCTGGGGGGTCACAGGTCCGAGAGGATAATTCCCACATGGGCTCACCTCCTAGTAAGGCCACCTTGCTGTGCCATTCTACAGCACGTGGCATCACAGGGGACACAGAGCACACGTGTTAGATTGGGTCTCTCTTCTTAAAAAGCCACCAGTACCATCATGGGGGAATCCTCACACTCATGATGCTAATTCTGATGACCTCCCAAAACCCCCACTTCCAAAAACCATTAACCTAGGCCTAGGGATTAAATTTCCAGCATATGAATTCTGGGAGCCCCTTCTCTCTTAACCTGGCCTGGCCTCAAGCTTCCCATGGTCACAGAAATGGATCTCAGCCCCCCGAGAGGAGCAGATGGCAGTCACCAGGCACCTGCAGACCTTCTGCTCTGCACACCAGTCCCATCACTCCCAGCCTGCTCTGTGGTCAAGTCTGGCCTGTCTTCTGAGAGTGGTGCAGTCCGCCTTTGTCTACTTTCACCCACCTATTTTCCCCTTCATATTTTAGGTTTATTTCCAATCTCTGGAAAATTCTTTCCAGGGATTGATGCTGAATCTTTCTTCATTTCTTTGAGCAGTTGAACCAACATGCAGCATTCACTACCATAAACTCAACTATGAAATGCACATGTATTATCTCCCTCGCTGTTTTTTTTTTTTCCTCCAGACCACCTTCTTTCTGCCACTCAACAGACACGAGTGTAATCCTCATGTGGCCCTGACTGATCATATGAATTTGGACAATGGGTTATATACAGGAGAGTGGCTCAGGTAAGAGGACTCAGAACTGAAGAAATGCTGGGAGTCTTAACTGGCTGTACAGTGAATTTTTCTCTCCCTTCCTTTCATGGACCAGGAGAAATTCAGGGCTAGGAGGGCTAGCCCTGGACTAGAGCTAGACACTGGGAGGTCCACTGTTCTACATGTGCAGCTCCTCGAATTAGAGTGATTTTCTGCTCAAATTATAGAGAGCCCTGAACCTCAGGAAGGAAGCTTGTCTGTCAGCTAGAAATGAAATACCTGGCAGAAGCCAGATTACTGTTCAGACTCAGAGTCTCTGAGGGCAAAGTTCCTGCTTCTATATGAGCTTCCTGAGTGCACTCATGGTCGATTTTATACCAGCTGGACCTTCTATCAAGTGTTTTCTTAGCATGGCTAAAAATGCACACCAAGAGATTACCCTGGCAGAAGCCAAGCCCCTGTTGAAGTCAAGCAGAACACAGGGGGATCCCCATTTTCTGTCCAGTGACACTTCTCTTCCAGTGTGAAGTCAACCACTGTCGATTCTGAGCCTGCCTTTATTCCCTTCCTCCCTTCACTGAGTAGTTTATTCCTCTTTTGGGCTGTCAGAAGCCCAGTACATTCTTCTGAGAGGTTCTCATCATGAAGGGCATTATAGTGTGTTGGCCAGTGATCTGCCCCTGTCCCTATCCCTGAGGGCGCAGTGAATAATGGAGCTTGGGTTCCGTTGCTGAATTTTGTGTGCCTAGTATGGGACCTGATACAGAAAGTGATGTGTGTGTGTGTGTGTGTGTCTGTGTGTGTGTGTGTGTCTGTGTGTGTGTGTGTGTGTGTGTGTGTGTCTGTGTGTCTCTGAGTGTGTGTGTGCATGCGTATAAAAGAGATAGAATTGAGGAGAAAGAAGTAGAGAGGAAAAGAGAATTTGGATGTGGTGGCCTATAATCCCAGTAATTTGGGAGGGTGAAGCTGGAGAATCCTAAATTTAAATCTATCTTGAACAATTTCGAGACTAGACAAGACTAAGTCTCATAATGAAAGGTAAAAGGACTGGTGATGTACCTCAGTGTCAGTGTCCTGAGATCAATATCCAGTGCCACAAAAATGAGGAGGGGAGGGGAGGGGAGAGAGAGAGAGGAAGAAGAAGGAGGAGGAGGAGGAGGAGAAAGAGGAGGAAGAGGAGGAGGAGGAAGAACAATGAAAAAGAGGAGGAAAGAGAAAACCAGGTCGCAGTGGAAGCACTGTAAGGTGGTCCCAGGTCAGTGCTACAGTAGTAACCTGACTTGTGTATGCTCTTTTGTAAAGGGGATCATTGATGATTTCATTTCCTGGGCATCCACTTGAGCTCACATATCCTACCACCCTCAGCATATCTGAGTCTACTCCTTTCTCCAGTGATGTTATCCACAAAGGCAGGCATTGGCCTTTGGGGCAGGACTGGGAAGTCACCACTGGGTGTACTTGTCAAGGTTTTGCCTAGTCCAACTTCCAGTGCTTCAGAGGTTCCTTTTCATTTGATAGATCCTGAGTCTGAGAAAAGACTCAAGTCTGGAGATGGGGCACAGGATCACGCTTTTCCAAGGGCGTGACTGCATTCTTTTGGTCTGTTCTTGATGTTGTGGGCTGCTGATATACTTTGCCCCATGAGCACCATGCTGAGTGAGCTATCACCAAAAGTGATAGCTGCATAGATAACTTCTGCCTGACACCTTTGCCAAGTACAGTATGTGTGCACACTTCACATCTGACACCTAGGACTGCCCCTGGCCTCTGCTCTTCTGCTTCCCTGTATCCCCATGCTACTAAGGAGCTCAATTCTGCAACAGCAGCTCCTAACACAAAACATCACAGCCACTTTCATCCTTAGCCACCCCCGTTCAAATCACCTTGGGAGACAGCATGTCCTTGGGCTCTGAGGAACACGATCAGCTGGCAGGCTTTTCTGTTTTGTGAAATGAACCAATTATAGCATTGCTACCTTACTAAACCTTTTGATCTCTTCTTTCATAATCTTCCAAAGCAATTTTCAGCATCTCTATTGCTTTAATGAAAGCAGTTACTTTTTCCAAACTTTCACGCGTCAGCAAAAAGGCATATATTAGACTCATTTTCTATGCAACCTGCTGAAGTGTTAAATTCAGCATGAGCGAGGAGAAGCTGCTCCCTACTGACACACATAGCCAGCTTTCCAGTGCTCCCTTGATCACCATGCACTGGCCCCTCCAGGCTCAGGCTCCATGGCCACCAGTGCATACCCAGCATTGCTCCCCAAGCTTGGGTGCATGACCTCTCCATCAGTCTCAGCTTTGCCCCACGGGACATAGCTCTATTTATATACTGGAGAAGAAGAACAGATGGAGGTCAATCCTAAGGAAAGCAAGCATTGTTTTATAGGGCATCCACCTTATTTGAGAACCCTGCATAGTTCTGAAGTGGGAGACAGGGCGCATCTGCTACAGGGCTGTTTTTGGTGTCCTCGGGAGTTTTGAGCAATTTGTTTGACATTCTCCCCTACATCAACTTATGACTATTTACACCAAGACTAGGGTAATCAGCTCATGGGCACCAGCAAGTTCCCTTAGCTATTGGGGATTTCTCTTTCACTCTGTCTTGACATGTGACTTCCTCCTCAGGACATTGTGAAGCTATCTACCGTGAAACCCTCCCAAGAGCCAAGAAAATGCTAGTATCATGCTTTCTGAGTCCCTGGACAATGAGTTAAATAAACCTTCTATCTTTTTAAAGTTCTCCAATTCAGGTGTTTTGTTGTAGCAACAGCAAACGTATATTAACCCTTCTACTCCAAGACACTGCTTTAAACAGAGCTGAGTCTTTCATTCCTGTCTCCAGCAGCGATGTTTAGCAGTGTCTACCAAGTTTCATGCTTCTTAGAATTAGTATTTACAAAGAACCCCACAAATATGATCTCACTACAGGAGAAAGCGAGTAACTACATTTGCTCTATCATGTAATAAGTCTAGGGTGGGGAAATATCTCCAGTGACTAAGATCCACAAGGAGGGGGGTAAGCCCATTTCTGCATTGATATCCTCACACTGGATATCATAACAGTCTCTCTTCCTCTAGATAAAGTTTTCAGAATTTGGATTCACTAGATTCCTGCTACCTATAGCATTTCTAATATCAACTACCTTGGGTTGAACTTTCTAGAAACAGAGCCAGAAGTGAGGAGTCCTGTGAGATGATTCACCCTAAAAGTACTCTCAGGAAAAGGGGAGTAAGGCAAGGGAAGAAAATTAGGCAAAGCTGTTGTCTGAACTGAAGGCCAAAAGATTAAGGGATTATTCCACAGGACATTTGAAGAAAGAATCATTCCATAAAGTTGATCTCATGGTGAAACAAATCTAATAGCTTTTTGCATGTGAATCAATCACTGTGTTTGTACTGTGGGCTTCCCAAGGGAAGAAGCAGAATATGCACTTTGTGTATGAGATGCTCCCAATTAACCATGCATGACACTCTGAGAAGGTGAGGGTAGGAGATGCTGAGCAAGGGTTTGCACAGCCTGGTAGAGGGAAAGGTGAGTAGCAGACATCATCAGCCCCAGAATCACAATTTCTCCTGATGGCTTGTGCTGCAGTGCAACACAGCTTGCAGGAGGAATGGTGAGGACGGCTGTCCCAGCCAGGCGCCCCACATCATCCTCCAGCTCTGTGTGAGCCACATATGTGCCCACGGCTACCCCTCTGGCCCCACTGGCCTGAGTCTCACCAAAGGAGGTGAAGGCCCTCAACTCTGGGTCACAGGCAGACAAGAGCTTCACGGCCACTAGTAGGGCCTGGAAGGCCACGTAGAAGCCGTGCTGGGTCAGAGGGCCAAAGCTGTGCTCCTTGACATTCAGCTGCAGCCCGGCCCACTGCCCTGTCCTGTGGGGCCCCACGGCCCATGCAGTGGAGGAGGAGGAAGAAGAGGAAGCGAGAAAGCTCTCCTCTGCTGCTATAGAGTCCACCTTGGTCCAGCACTTGAGGTGCCAGGCAGGGATGCTGTCAGGGCTATCGGGCTCCTCAGCCTGGCAATAGTAGAGGGTAAAAGCCTCCCGGCAGGTGCCCCAACTCATGCCCAAGCTGGTGTAGGCCCGCATGGAGTGTCAGGCAGCGCTGGTCGTCCAGGACACTCACCTCGTCCCACTGTGGGGCAAGAGAAGCTTAGCTGCTCTGGGCTATGCAGGGAGGTCAAGGTGCCGGGGTAGGGGCTCTGCCTACTGGACTGAAAATAAACAATGACAGGGTATGAAGGGAGAGGAGATCCTGAAACTCAGAGCCTTGAGAGAGAAGGAATCTGAGCCCAGTTGAGTACCCAGGGCTTCTTGTCTGGTTTCTGCACTCCAGGGACACAGGGCTCCGGACAGCTTTCTCAGTTCTTGTGTGCAATGGACAAAGATCCAGACATGGCTGCTCGAGGTAAGGAAAAAGCAGCAAAGTTTAAAGAAGCCATGGTAAACTCAGAGTGAGCGGGCTCACACCCGCAGAAAGAAAAAGGGCCAAGCACAGAATGTGCTGGGTTTACCAATTTACAATGTTGCCTCCGATTGGCTTCTGTAGAGTGTAACTGACGATGTCCCCCACAGGACACTGAGTCATGTCATTTGTCCTTTCCCATAATGACTCTGTTATAATTGCATGCATAACATGGAGTCCATATGCATGAATGTTTAATCAGCTCTGAGGAAAGAAAGGCTATTACAGGTTTTGGAGAAAAATCTGATACACAGGACTCACATCTGCCACTGGGTATTGGCCCTTACGACACAGGCTAGGAGGTGGGGTTCAGGGAAGTGGAGGGGAGTGGGCCCCCAATCCAAACGTATTAGCTATGTGCTACTTAACACTAAAATAGGTCCTAAAGTGCAAATGGGGAGCCTAAATCTGCTCTACCAACAAAACAGGTTCCCACATTTGGTGAATCATCTCAGAAGAAAAAAAAAAATGTACACTGGTCAGTAAGAGACAGAAAAGGATTTATTAGACAGAATTTTAAAGTACACACATAAAGAAATATATGTGGGTATGCAAGAAAGAAAGGAACATCATATGATAGACAGGGATGGGGTACACTGATCGACACTTTGGGGTAGAGATTACAATCTATGGAAAGACATTGTGTTCTCTTCTGCAGAGTAAAGATAAGATGGCCCACTAGCAGTGCTGTCCACTGCTAGTGATGGGAAAACCCACTGTGTAAGAGAAAGAGAAAACCTGAGACCCACTTTCAAGTAAAAAGAAATGGCCCAAGTTGACCGACAGGTAAAAGATGCAGGTGTTTAGTGTGACTTTAAGAACCCTAGACATTTTTACTGAGTTTGTATTCTAAAACTGCACTTTTTATTAAAAGTGTAATTTAAAAATCATACTTTTCCTTTACTTATTTTTACTTATCTCTATTTTTGTATCGTGCCTCTGGCTCACCCCACCTGGTAGGTAGGAAAGTCAGCCAAGCACTTCTGCCCAGACAGCCAGGAACACATAGTGCCGGCAGCAGTCACTCCATCCCTGAGAGGACTCAAAGAATGTCCCTCCCTGGTCCATTTCACTTGCCAGAAAGAGTTCAGCTGCTGCCAGGAAACTGTCTCTGAAACACCCCATGCAGGTCCTTTGTGATCCCCACGCTCCCCTCCTCAATGCCTTTACTCTTTTCTGGCTTTTAGGGTCTTCCTCCTGCCCACTACCCCAGGCTCTACTGGCAGCTGGGCATCTCCTGCCTCTCTCCTTCTTACCTTCCAGAGCCAGCACTGAAGGCCCCAGGATCAGGGCCCACAGGCTGCACACCATGCCCACCACTCTGGTTCTCCAACTTGCAGCACCCTCAGTAGCCATGAGGCATCTTCAGGGCTCCCACCATTGCCCTGGGCACACCCAGGTGGGGCTGTGGCTTTCACAAGACCAGGAATCTTCAGCCAAGCTTGTTTGCTGGGGAGAACAAAAGAGGCCAAAAGAGGCAGGAAGGAGGAGACCTGATTTCACATACAGCCCAGACACTCAGCTGGGTCCCCTCCCACTATTCTCAAACTGCCCAGGTACCAACCATGAGGCAGGAGTATCAGGGACCCAGGGTCTCTCCTGAGAATGCCACGATCCTGGGGAACCACACGCCAGGCACCCTCATGCCTTGTGTGACCATGACTCTGTGGTCCTCTCTCCTGGCCTCCTTCTCACGGGCAGCCCAGGTAACTCTGGATCCCAGGGAGTGAGTCCAGTCCTTTCTCTTCATTTACTCTCCTTCCTTCCTTCAGCAGACACCTGTGCGAAGTAAGAAAATTCCTTAAATAGAGTTGGGGAGCCAGTGACTCCTCTGTCCCTGTTGACATTCTCCCTGTGCCCCTCCACGCTTCCCTGCATGCTGCAGAGACACAGTGGAGGGAGAGGGACACAGTGGAGCAAGAGGGACACAGGATGATGGCTGCGGGGTAGGAAGTGAAGGAAGGGAGGGGAACAGATGTAAAAGGCACATAGGCGTAAAGATTCTGAAAGATAAATGAGGAAAGAGCTATGTAGGTCTGACAGACACTCTCTGAACAAAGGTTCTCTCTCCCAAAGGGCTCATTCTTTCCCAAGGCTTACAGAAAAATAAGTGCATAGCCTGAACACATGAAAAGATGCTTCGTGTTTGCTAACATTTAAAGGAAGACACATTAAAATAGCTGAGGAGAATCGGAGTGGTAGTGCATGCTTGTGATCCCAGCACTCTGGGGGCTGAGGCAGGAGGATCAAAAGTTAAAACCCATCCTGTTTCAACAAATTAGGGACAAACTGTCTCATTTTTTCATGCCTACATCTTGTAACCTGAACAACCAGTCTCAAGATAACAATTTGCAATATATTAACTGGTATCAATTTCCTAATTCTTTTATAAAATTCTGTAATATTATTATCCTTTTTGTTTGATTTTAAAGTCAAAAAGAAAAATAATGGTTGGGGTTTTAGCTTAACATGAAGGCCATGAGTTCAATCCCCAGTAACTCAACATGAAAACAAACACAAAACTAGAGCGGTCATTGTTACAGAATGAATCCCCTGTTAATGTTATTAAAAGGTAGAGGCTGTGGGAGGTAATAAAATGCTGGAGGATATTCCTTTACAAATGGGATTAAGGAAGAACTTATAAAAATGATCCTACAAAGCATCCTAAAACTCTACTTTGTAAAGCCACAAAGCAAAGAGGACAACTTCAACCGAAGAGAGGGCCTGCACCCAAACCCAAGTACCCTGACCCCAGCCCCGCCTGCACAGTGGTGAGAAATACACATCTATGGTTTATAGCCCACCCTGCCTATGGCAGGCTGCTACTGCAACCCAAATTGATGCAGATATCATTTTCACCCCAGAAATTGAGAAAACATACTGTGCGAGACAAAATATTAGCATTGGGGGCCCTATCTCTACACTGGGTTTATGGGTTCTCAGTGGGATGCCCATGGTGTAGAATGATTGCCAAAACCTGTGTGGTAGCTCCACCTCTAAGAAACCATTTGGGGACCATAAATTATACCAGTTTTCACGGATGTCTGATCAAGAGGACTCGTATGAATTATTTAGGAGGGAACAGGCTGCAAACTAACTATTCATCCAGAGACAGATGTCAAGAAATTATGGGACATCCTTATTGAGGATGGCTATGAACTGGTTGTAAACTGAGAGAAAACCATTTTCAGGAGTGTACAGTACACTCCCATTTGTCACCTGAAGAACAGACTGTGTATGCTTGGAAAGGCTCTTATGGAGGAACACAGGAAACTTGGTAAGAAAGCAAAAGTAGAGAACTGGGAGCCACATCCAGGGAGAATGAACTTTCCCTGCATTCTCTGCAATTTTACACTTGAAATCTTGTGTGTGCATTATCCTCTCAATGGGCTCGCTACTTAAAATTCCCTTTAAAAGTGTAGGTATCAACTTCTTCGTGTAGTGAATACAAGTAGTATTCATACATTCTCAGAATGATTTCTGGTAACAGAGAGCTCCCTACTGAGGAAAGCCTCCAAGCCTGCAGGAGGTACAGCACTGTGCCCAGGAGTCTGGGAAAGGAGACACCACTGCCCCAGAGGTCACAGCCAAGACCCACAGGCAGCAGCAGCTCCTCTGCCTGCTGTGCTAGACAGTGGCTGTGCTCTGCCTCTCCTTGGGGCTGAGCCTCAAGAGCCTGCATGTGTGGCATGAACAGAAGCAGCAGAATCCATTTATTTCTGTCTGACAGGTATGTTGCTCACATTGCTGAAGAGAGGACAGAAGAGGAATTGAAAGCTGTATCTATGAGATCCTGTGGTCCTCTCTGATACAAACACTGTACATTTCTCAGTGAAAATGAAATCAAACTTGAGGCTACAATGACCTCAAATCTACAAGAAAGTAGTAACTTCACACCTACTCACCTAATTTTTTTTTTTTCTGGTAATGCTAGATGTGTAAGAAAAGAAATCTTCCAAGATACATGTGGTTGTGCCTGCCTGTAATATCTGCACTTGGGAAGGCTGAGGCAGGAGAATTACAAGTCTGAGGCAAGACAAGCTTGGCAAACATAGTAATTTGAGATAGGGCAGGCCCTGTCTTAAAAAATTGTAAGTTTTTTGTAACAGGTTAACACAGTATTTTTTTTGAAAGGTAGCAAAAAAAAAAAAAAAAAAAAGATGTAAAACATGCAGTACAAGTAGTATCAGTTGAGTAGCGTGAACATTCTAGCAAAGAATGGCAGTAGTGTTGCTTTAATGGCCCACAACAGGAATCACACACAGCTTGAGGTTGCAGGTGCGTACCTGTGTAACCTTAGCATGCATCTCAAAGACAGTATGAAGCTGGCCTCTCTCCAGAAGATCCAGAAAAGAGTACAGGCAATTATAAAATATAGGATGCCACCCAGTCTCCTTTATTATGAGGAATCAGAAGGAAAAGAAAATGGAGACATTGCATGGAGAACATAAGGAGTAAATGTTTGCAGTTTCACAAGGATCAAAGATGTTCATTAAAACAAACGGTCAAAAACTTAAAGTACCTGGAAGTGGGTTTTAATTTTGGATGGGAACCTCTCAGATTCAGACACAGAGTGCTGGAAGTTAAAAACGCATTTCTTTAGGGGAGAAAGATGTTGCAGAGTCAGAGAAAGAAGTGAAACCAGATAAATTCAACTCATCTTTTAATATTTAAACAAATTTGAGTAGATCTCTACTGTAAGAATAAAAATGAAGAATATGGAATAAGTTGCTGTCAACTAATTCAAACCACTGCAGATTCTTTTAAAGCAGTGTCAAAAGTGGAGTAATCAGTGACAGGAACACGACGGCTCCACCTGTCTGGAATACTGAACAAGCGGTGCTTAGCCCTGGCTTCCAGAGATGCCTGCAGTGGCTGTGAACATGCACAGTCTTCTGTGCTTATTCACAAGAGCACATTGGGCACAGCAAGCATGGGAAGTGGCCTCAGCAAAGCCAGGCTCCTCTCTCCTCCCCCTCAGAGGCTGCTAGAGATTCCTCTCTGTTCACTTCAGGACAGGAGCTGTCCAGTGTCCAAAAGTCCTTAAGGGTGAGAAAGTATTCCAGACAGATCTCAGTGGGGAAAACACTCACATCCCACTCACATGTACATCAGGCTTTAAATATATAAAACCCCGAAAGCAGCAGAAATGAGGATGTAAGATGACAACACAGAATATGAGACCGATGAGAGGAAACTTCACATGATAAGATTTCAAATTTTACTTTTTCTTGGGTATGTCACGTTTTTGTCTTCTAATACACAGGAGACATGCCATCCAGGAGCATTGTACATGCATTTGGTTCACAAAATAAAGACAGAATTAAGCATGTAGGTTTGCTCAGGTTTCAGAAACCGGTGAAAATGGAAGATTTGTCGAATCTTAGCTTGTGTCCTCAGTTCTCCATGAAAATGGAAGGTGTAAAGCTGAATTTGTGAATCTGTAAGGGCTTTTACAAATTAACGCAGCTCAAATTAAACACTAAATATGTCTCATGAACAAATCAAGCTTGCTTAATAGATCTAATGTACTTCAATCCATAACATGAATTTTGAGAACAGTATGACAGAGATGGATGGGGTAATAAATACTGATGTCTGAAGGAGGCAGAAATGGGAAATGTTTGGTGAGGGAAAATGTAACTTTGTTTTACACATAGATCAGTTGATTGTCTTGCTGTTATATTAATAGCCTTATGTTTTAAAAATTCAACAAAATCTAAACAAATGTTTCACTTTACCCACACCCCTTTAATTCTTTAGGTTTCAAATTACCTAACCATGTTCACCTGTAAGAGGAAAGCAGAGATGAAGAGATAGCAGAAGCTGAATGATGATTACAGTCAGCAACAAAGCAAAATAATTTTTAACCTTGGATGTTTCTGAAGCTTCTCTCCCAAGTTCAAATCAGGACAGAGCACACAACCTCCACTTCCTGCAAAGGCCAGGAGCACAAAGGCACAGAGGGGAAGAGAGGGGCCAGGGCCCTCAGCAGCGGTGCCTGCATACAGCAGGCAAGGCCAGCAGCAGCCAGGGCAGAGGGAGCATCCTCAGGGCAGAGGGGCCAGTGGTTTGGAGTCTGGCGTGGGTGCTGCACTGGTTCTCCCACCTGTTCCCTCAGGGTCAGCGTGGGTGAGGTCAGCACCAGGGGCTCTGTCCTCTGTCCAGTTCTGCAGCTGTTAAACACCCCAGGAATTCCAATGTAATCCTTGCTCAGCTGAATGCTGCAGCCTCCTCCCTCTAATCTGCACCCTGGAGATCCTCTCCCAGCTGTCTCCTGCTCTGGCCTTCTGCCTTGAAAAGGAACCCAGTGCTGCTGCATCCAGGGCAGGCAGGAAGGAGGTTGCTGTCCTGTGGCTCTTGATCCCCTGCTGTGCAGGCAAAGAAGCCCATTTATGGATTACCCAGCAGAGTCCGGAGTCCCTAGAGGCCTCCAGCCTGTGAGAATGTCCCCAGGAGCATGCCATACAGACAAATGTGCCTTCTACTCCACTGTGAAGGGAAGGGAGGCTTTTAAGATGCAGGCAGTGTTGGGGTCTGGACATGCAGAAGAAGCTAAACAGCCATTTAGAGTGGGCTGTGCTGACTGGCACTGACTGGGGACACACAGGGCCCTGGAAAAGGGGTACAAGGAGGGGGCAGAACAAGTGGCAAGTGAGTGTGAGGGAAGAGCAGTGAAAGGCGGTGGGTACTAGGATTAGTACCTGTTGGCCATGTGTGAACACACGTCCTGGCAGTGTGGAAGGTAGTGTGTGTGGGTGAGGGCAGTGAGCTGGAGGTGTGTTTGTGTGTGCCAGGGCACGCTGCTTGGGGCTGGCTGTTCTGGGGTTCAGGAACTCCTGTCCCTTGCTCCATCTGCCTGACTATGAGCTTGGGAGCTGTATCTGCAGAAGTATCTGAGCAGAGAGAGGGAGCACAGCAGTGAAGAGAAAGTGAAATGGGGGCTTCCAATCATACTGTCCCAGATTCTACCCATTCCCATCCACAGGCAGTGGGCAGCTCGAAGGGGTACAGGACCTAGGGCCTAGGATCAAGAGGGTGAGGAGGGCTGGGAGCTCTGCTGTCTCAGCACAGGGTCCTGCTTCCCCATGCTCAGCCATCCTGGCTTGTTGCTGCCAGCATCCAGCAAGGTGCATGGTCATGGCCAACTATCACCTTGTGTACTGAAAGGACCAACAGAATCCAAAGCACTCCTGCTCCCTCCACTACTAGATGGGGCAGGGGAACCCATGCGAATCTTCCTTCAGGGAAAGAGGTCTGTTGCCTAGAAAGGACCACTGCTCCTCAGAGAGGCACTCAGTCCCCCAATGCCCATCACTGTGGCAGCTTCCCTGGTCTGTGAGCCATGCTCTCCCCTTCCCACTGACCCTCAGCTCAGAAGCACCTTCTCCCTTTCCAGAGCCCGAGTCAAGTTCCCTGGCTACTGGGAGGCCTGAGTTAACTGATGGAGAACAGGTCTGACAGCTCTTCTCCGTGGGCACTGCCAGGGACATTACCACATGAGCTATGCTGGGCCCAGGCCAGCTCACCCAGGGATGGGAGGAGAGAGGGTCCCAGACAGCCAAGATGGTGGGTGGAGGTGGGGAGCAGGCAGGGCCAGGCACCCAGAAGCAGGGAGGGGTCATGCTGGGGCAGGAGCAGGCAGGAGACTTTGGTTACAACTTGGGCTTAAGGCTGAGAAGCAGGAACCAGGCCTCCACTCCCAGGCTGTAATGTGATACAGGCTAGGGGGGGCCAGGGATGCAGTGGGGAGCTGTGGGCAGATGTGGATGGGCCTCCTGGCTCCTCCCTGCTCCAGGTTAATGGAGAGATGCCACTGGAGTCAGAGGGATGGGCAATCCTTTTCAGGACTCTAGGAGGCTCCTCTCTGTGAGGAGCTCCCACCCCCCGACCAGGCAGGACCCTAGGATTCATAATATGGTGGAAGGGTAGTGGGATATAATGAAGGTCTGATGGGGCGGTTCCTGGAGCTCCTCCTCCTGCACATCATACTCGGTACTCCTCCAGGAGGCTCCTGGGGAGGACAGTGCCCAAGAGAGAGCCCCCCTCTACTTTACAAACCAGAAACTTTACAGGGTTTAAACTTTAACATCCAAGCTTACCTTCTTGCTGGCCTCCAGCTCCGTGGTTGCTTTCTCAGGGGACCGCTCTGGAGCAGGGACTCTGAGAGCTCGCGGGGTTTATCCTGTCCTTTGGATGCAGAGACCCCCGCTTGGCCGAGGCCCGCGACCCCTCAGCAGGAAATCTGGGATTCCGGGAGGACACGGGCTTGGTGCAGGAGATTGTGCGGGGCCCGGGTCGCAATCCCAGGCTCCGAGCTGGGTCACGGGTCTCATCCACCGCTCCCCAGCAGCGCTGGAAGGAGCGCAGCCGGGCCCGCCCCTCCGTGCACCTAGTGCCCTCCCTGTCCCCTCCTCCTGAGCAGAGCCCGCCCTCCGGCGGGAGCTTTGCGGGAGACCGGGAGACAGGAGGGGGCGGATCCTGGTCTGGTCCTGGGCAGTGGCTGGAGGAGGGCTTCGCTCGGCCCGGGCTCCAGGAGCAGAGCTCGGCCGGCTGTGCGTCAGGCTCTGCCCGCCCGCGCCTCCCCGTCTTCTGGGCTTTAACTCTGGGCACCGCAGCACTGGGGCTCCTGCCCTGGTTTGCACTAAGGTGGGCGTGAACTGAGAAAAAGAGGAAGAAGGAAGAGGGATGGGGGCGAGACCAACAAATCTTGAGGGGCGGGAGCGGTCCGGGCAGCTTGGCAGCCCCAGGGGGCTTCTGACTGGAACCTCCCTCCCTCCGCCCTGCCCAAGGGAGGGAAACCTGGGGTGGAAAGGGAAGGACCCCATGGCTGAGCATGGTCTGGCCGGCTCGGAAAGTCGCTGCCGCCGAGGCTGCTTCCTCTCTGCGTGCACCTCAAGGACCCCAAAGCCCCCGGTGATGAGAGGCGGTGGAAGGTGCTCTCAGGAGGTTTCTGTAGGGGAGGCTGAGGAGCCTGAGGAGGAAATGTTAGCACCCACCCCTAACCTCCTCAGCAACCTAGGCCTGGACTGGGGGGCCATTGTTTGGTCTGCGTAGCTGGCTGGGGCCTTCCCCGAAGTGTTGCTCCCTCCTCCTGGCTCCATCTGGGAACGCAGGCACCTTCTGGAAACCTCCTGTTCCCTTTTTCTCCCCCACATCGCCTTGCCCCATCTTGCTCTCCTGCCGCTTTGACTTGCTCAGCGACAGGCTTGTGAAAGCCCTGACTGAAAGGTTCATCACCGCTTAGCTGGTGCTTAAGGAGCATTTAGGAACCCGGGGAAACTGAGAGCACTCCGTGTGAGCCACGGAGCACAAGAAACAGAGATGAAACTCATTAAAAGGCACCTGGGAGATCAAGAGGCTTTGCAAGAATTGACTGAATGCCTGATGGAAAGATAAAGGCTAATGAATGAGTCCCCACTTGACCAGAGGGATGTTCACTGTTAATGGAGCCAATTAGTAAGCCTGGTGGAGTTTAATGATTCCGCATTGGATCCTGTTAATAATTCTTACTGTACCTGCTGATCCGGTAACTCATTCTGTTGTTTCCAATGGCTTTGAAGCCTGTGTTATAGTACTGCCTGCATGTTTTCAGCAGTGGGCAGCAAAGCCTTCAAAGTCTTGTGGAAGAAACCTGAGTTTACATCGCATGTGGTATTGCATAACTCATGGCTATGAATTTACACAGGCACATAGATGCACATGCACACACACAACAGGACTGAACTCAGGACGTTGAGAGTGCTAAGCAAGCTCTTCTCACCACAGCTTCCCCTGGTTGTATAGCTAATAGGACTGAGTGGAATCTGGGTTTTAAGTAGCATAATTAAAACACAATTAAATTATATTGAAATAAATGTACCAGACAAAAACACATATATCTCCATGAAACTCCAAAAGTCCAATAGTAATTTGCAACTTCTCAGGTGTTGGTAGTAATGTAAAGCAATCCGTATTTCTTTCTATGGTATGGCATGTCTCATATTAGAGAACTATAAAATAAAATTAAGATTTTCTTGCCAAGGCTTATGTAACTAGTTATTTTTATCTGGCTAATAAAATTTGAGAGACATCTAGTTTGCAATGAAAATGCCATTTTATTCAAGATGCGAAAGGATTTGTTTTGTGATCACAATTGGCCTGGAATCCTAATCTGTGTTGTAAAAGCAAGTAAGTTTTAATAGGTGTGAAGCACAGAATCACCATTCAATTTTGCTGCAATCCAAGGTATGAAATAGCAAAGTAACGAATTTTTTTCTCAAGTCGAGTATAAATGTGGAGTGTAATTCGTTCAATGTCTGACACATATCTGGGGCTTACAAAAGTTTTTAAAAGAAAAATGTAATATTAAAATTGTCCAGTGCCAAAAGGCAGGACTTTATCTGTAAGGAGTGATTGAACTTGGAGATTAATTACTTGTGTTGGGTTAAAGCAAGGCCAGCTCAGAAAAAAACAGACAGACCAAAGCAAGCTATGTAAACAAGCTGTTCCAGTACCAAGAAGCCCAGGTGCCCAGGCCAGCTGGCAAACAAGTTGCTAGGAATGAGGTTGAAATTGCCATTCTTCTTTAAGAGTGTATGGAGTATAGAAATAAATATGCTGTGGTTGTTGGCAGTTCCTTTCCTATGTTAGGAGGGTAGGAACTCTACCTGACCCCAGCTTTGTCTCTTTATTTTCTCATTCTCTCCCTGTCCTTTACCCCAAGAACCTCAAGATCCCCATGGATCACAGCCTTTATAAACTTCGTTCCTCACAGGATTCAGGAATTACAGCACACACAATGTGCACCGTAAATCCAGAGGCAGAAGGATCTGTAGTGTGGAAAACTCCATGTATGATCACTCTTTGCTTCCACCTTTTCTTATTTTTTTTCCTCTGATTTTGCCTCTTTCTTGGGCTTTAGTGTCTCCAATATCTCTGAGTCTCTGAGGATATTGAATTTTCTCTTTTCTTATTTGCCCTTTTTGAACAGCAGAACCAAGGTGCTATTATTATAAGAAATTTCAGATATAAGATATCCAGCAAAAAGCAGTAGCCTTTTCTTACTTAAGGATCTCATTTCAAAACCTAAGTCACAGCTCCTTGTGCAGCCCTCAAAGGGGCCCAGGCCCTCCCTTGAATTGTCTTGAGGCTTTTAGGTCTCCAGATGTGATCCCACTCCTAAAGCTGGAACCCAATGACTTACTATTTTCACCAGTAAAACTGTCAACAGTCATTTATTTCATGAAGCTGTTTTTTTTTTAACCCTACAGTAAGAAAGTTCTAGAATGTTCTCTAGTGTTTCTGCTTGGTTCCAAGACAAACCTAGATTTTGGCTTGTGAACTGTGCATTGTGGTCTTAAATGTTTACCCATCATAATCTTCATCTGCTGTCACCTGAGCCAAACATGAGTAAAAGGGGACCCAGAGTTGTCTGTGCATGGGGAGAAGAAGAGTGTTTTTCTCTCAGAGCAGAATATTATCCCAGGTTTGACTCCAGAGGTTTGGAACGGGAACATTGTACCAGAGTACTTCAGGTGTATTAGGAAATCTGAGGATGCTGTAAGACCCCCACATCAACCAGGGTCCATCTTTAGGATTAAACCTATTTTCAGATTCCCAGAATATGAGCTCTTATTATAGTGTTTATTAACTTCAGGCAAGGTAAAGAAAGGAACTGGACTAAGGTGCTAGGTCAGCTGAATTTGCTGTTTCAAGAATCTTTGGGAAGCTTCCCCCTGTGCCCTCTGTCTACTCTTATGGGCCATGACTGTGTCACATGACCACCCTGCCTATAAGAAAATGGAATTTCTCGCTGCATCAAATAAAGTGAAAGCTCTCATACAAGGGGAGGATGACAAAAAGACTATTGAACAAGCAACCAGCAGGTCTGGCCACAAAAGAAATAAAAGTCTGAGTTATCCAAATCTTTTCCGGCAATCAGCAGAGATGAGGCTTTTTATGGGATGTCTTTATTATTGATCTTTTCCTCCACAATATTTTTAATACATACTTCTAAAGTTTGAAGATAACTCCTTGAAAGTCATCTTTGAAAGTCAGTGGAGTGAGTCGAAATGTTAGGAGCCTCCTCTCCCAGAATAAGTGTGACGCCCCTCTCCAAATCCCCTGCCATTCCTCAGAAACAATGAGACAAAAACATTCATGATTTTCATAGCATTTGGGGCAGGCTCACCTGCAGAAGAGGATTGATAAATGGTCCACCTCACCATCTGTTCCTTTCCTTGTCTTTGTCTTCTTCCTTCAGGTCCAAAGAGGAGATGGGTTCATTGCTCTCATGGAACTGGTGGTCCCATAGCTGTTCCAGTTGGTGCAGTGTTTTTCTGATGCCTTGATCTGGATCCTGCAACCTGAACAGGTGCACCTCTCTGAGCTAGAAGGGAGTTATACAACCAGGAGAGGCTGTGGTGAGGAGGGCTTGCTTAGTATGCTCAGGGTCCTGAGTTCAGCCCTCTGTGTGTGTGTGTGTGTGTGTGTGTGTGTGTGTGTGTAAATGCATAGCCATGTATAGTTATTGTTTGCATTTCCAAAAGATCTACCTTCAATCTCTAGATGAAGCAGTAATATTTCCTGAGGAAAAGGCTTGCTGTCCAGTCTCGCATCTGATATTACCTGTTTCCATGCACATTCCAGTGGGTTCAGAGAAGCTGTTGCTTCAAAACTCTCAGCACAATGAACTAAGTGGAACAATTCACTGTGAGAAATGAGTTTGTAACCAGGAAATTTGGCATCATTTATGTATCCAAAGTGGAAAATCAGTAGGTTAAGAACAACTTCACTTTGTGTTCTTAATAAGTGAAAAACAAATAACAGATACTGTTTTAGTAGACAAAATAAAATCTCAGGCATTCAGGAAAAAGAAAAAACAACCAAACTCCAGAATAAACAAACTACTGAAACAGCAGACTGAACTGGAAGTCATTCAAGAAGTAAGACAAGTCAGCCCTTTTTGTAAATAACGATTTGATGAAAGTCTGGAAAATAAAACATAAAATTTTCACTGGGAGGTAGCAGTAATTATGGAGTAATAACAATGTCAATACACAAGAGGAAAAATGAACCCTACAGACATTTGTTGAATTAAGTGAAAAAGAGTAATAAGTTCTAAAATTTAGAGATTTTTGACTTCTAGGTGAAATTGATAAGCAAGAATTAGTGCTTTATACTTAATGCTTTGTGTGTTCACACACAAATGGAAACATACACATATACACATATATACACACAGAAATTGCTTGGAATGGTAGTGCATACCTATAATCCAAGCCCTGGAAAGCCTGAGGCATGAGAATTGCTGAGAGTTCCAGGCCAATCTGAATTACAGAGTAAGGGCCTGATGTACATATAGATTTTAACTTCTAATCAAAATTGATAAGCAGGAATTGATGCTCCTTATTCAATACTTTTGTTATCAAACAAATGGACATGTGTACACATGCACTCACAGCGTTTACTTTTTTTGTTATAGTTCATGCTGGCTTTGAAATCACTCTGTAGCCCAGACAGGCATTGAATTCACAGAGTTCCTCCTTCCTCAGCCTCCTGTATGCTGGGATTATAGGCGTGAGCCAAAATACACAGTTTTCTTTTCAGAAGAGCTAAGGCATGCACATTCCTCTTTCCATTGAGAGACACTGACAGGAAAGAATTCAAAGGACGGACACCTGAGTGTTTTCAGCAGAAAAGTGGATCACAGAGCTGGGGAACAATTCCTCCAAAGTCACTGTCTGCTCTCTTCCTGGCTACCCAGGGCTAAAATGCTTACTGCTCTCCAGGTCTTTCTTCCACATAGAAGGAGATATAAGACCTAATTCTGGTTTATGAGAAGCAAATAGAAATCTGCTCAAGGTGTCTCTGAGAAAGCTTTGGGGCCGCTGATGACAGGGTGTATATTCGCTGGGCACAGCCCTTTGCTGTTTGTCTTGCTTTAGCTCAGTCCCTGGGACACTGCACTGGTTGGTTCCTCTCAATCCTAATCTTATAGCAGGAAACCATACAAGTCTGTTATCTCATGGTTCAGGGGCTAGAAATCTCAGGCAGTCCTTGCATAGCTGAAACTAAGGGGCAGGCAGGGCTATCTTCCACAGTTTTCATCTACAGTTCGATTCTTTGCCTCTTACTGTGTGGTCTCTACAAGCCACAGCATACTTAGGCCTCTCCTCTGTGTTCAAAGCTAGCAAGCTGGGCTGAATCCATCTGTCACCATCCCATGACTCTACTTCCTTTTCCTTTTCCTTGGAGTTAAAAAGAGTCCACCTGGGTAATCAAAATCAGCTGCCTATGGCAAGGTGAGCTGGTTGGTAACCTCCATCTCTTTCTTGTAATCTAACAGTAGACTCCAAGGCATAGCACGTGGGCCTCCTTGAGGACCATTTCTCTCTCTTTCCATAGATGCTGTAATCAATGGGGCAGCAGCCCCACATTGGAATGTGAACTCCAATCATCAACTGCATTGCTGTAGACTTCTTGCTACAGGAGAAAAAGAAACACTGTGATTGTGATTTTATTGTCTGTGAATGAGTGCATTTCTAACGTGCATAGACTTAAATATAACATCGCTAGCTAAGGTCTTACTATTTGCAGAACACAAGATAAATTCAGTTTTGGATTTGCAATTCTTAGAAAATTTGCTACTTCAGGCTGCTTTCCAGCAAAGCACAAATGTATTCTGAAAAATTAGGAGATGAATAAACAATTCATTATTCATTGTAGAAGTTGTGACTGAAAAGATGTGGGTATAATTACTTTGATTCTAAAATTGTAAGATAAATAAAAGACAAGACAAGATATAAACTTGAAAATCATTATCCAATAATGAAGTAAATTAAGTAATTGAACCTAGTTATGCTAATAGAAGTTACACAAAAAGAGATATAAAGAGACTGTCTCATTTTTTTTAAAAAAGGAAATCAAATTCAAAATTGACAAAATGCAGGATGTGAAAAATTCTAGCAAAGATGAAGATATCCTTGCTAAATCCCTTGACATTCAACAGAGGAAGTCAGTAGTTATTGTTGGCATAATTAGGTGAAAAGAATTTTAGTGCTTTGAGATAATGCTGTCAGACAACCTTCAAAGTAATGTGTTAATCTTACAAATCAGAGATAAGCAAATGGACTGTTCATTCATCTAAATCTAAAAGAGATAATAACAAAGAAACATTAAAATATAGAAAGCATAAATATAGGACAATGTCATATGACATGTAGTTTTGTACTGAACATGATATTCTCAAATAATTTTCTATGGTGGGTTGGTGGAAAAAGCACATTGCAAAATTTCTTCAGCTAATAACTAACAAAAAGTCTCTCTATCTAGCAAACCTTATCAAGAAAAAGAGAAAAACTCAAATTCATCCAATAAGGACTGAAAAGTGAAAAATTACTATAGATCCCATGGAAATTCAGATCATAAATACACGTACTTTGAAAATCTTTATTCACATAAGCTGAAAAACACAGAGGTAATGGACAGATTCCTAGAAATGTATGAATTGCCAATACTGACTCAAGAAGATGTAACAATTTTGAGTAACCCAATATCAGCTTCTGAAATTGAAAATATGATTAAAACTTAACCAACAAAGAAAAGCCCAGGACCTGATGGATGTACAGCTAAATTTTACAAGAAATTTAGAGAAGATTTAATGCCAATACTCTTCAAACTCCTCAATGAAATTCAAAAGGAAGCAATCCTCCCCAACTCACTCCTGGACGCAAGTATTACTCTGATAAAACCAGAGAAAGACACAACCAAAAAGGAGAACTATAGGCCAATCTCACAAATTAACACTGATGCAAAGATTCTCAGATTATATATCAGGAACAAGTGGGATTTATTGCAGGAATGCAGGGATGGTTTAATGTATGTTGATCAATAAATGTAATCCAGCACATCAACAGTCAAAGACAAAAACCAGAGGATCATCTCAAAAGATTCAGAAAAAGTTTTTGATAAAGTCCAACTCTTGTTTATGATAAACCCTTACAGAAACTTGGAATATATGGTATTTACCTCAATCTGATAAAGACCATTTATGACAAACCAATAGCTAACATTATATTAAAAAAACAAAAACTGAAAACTTTCACTCTAAAATCAAGAACAAGGCAAGGATATTCACTATCACTACTCCAGTTCAATATAGTTCTGGAAACATTAGTCAGAGCAGTCAGACAAAAGAAAGAAATAAAAGAAATAAGAATAGGAAAGGAAGAAATTAAATTATCACTATTTGCAGGTGACGTGATACTCTACATAGAAGACCCCTAAAAGCTCCATCAAAAGACTACTAGAGGTAACAAACAAATTCAGCAGTGTCGCTGGATACAAAGTCAACACTCAAAAATCAGTAGCATTCCTGTATACAAACAACAAGCCCACTGAGAGAGAAATTAAGGAAATAACACCTTTCACAACAGCATCCAAAAAAATGAAATACTTAGGAATCAGCCTAACCAAGAATGTAAAAGACCTATATGCTGAATATTATACTACTCTTAAAAAGGAGACTGAAGAGAATATTAGAAAATACAAAGATATCCCTTGCTCGTGTTTAGGAAGAACCAACACTGTGACAATGGCTGTACTCCCAAATCTGTTACACATATTTAATGCAATTCCTATCAAAATACCATTACCATACCTTACAGAGCTAAAGAAAACAGTCCTAAAATTGATTTGGAAACAGCAAAGACTAGAAGAGCAAAGGCAATTCTGGGCAACAAAAGAAAAGCAGGACGTATCCCAATCCCTGGCTTGAAATTATACTACAAAGTTACAGTGATACCATCAGCATGGTACCAGCAATGAAATAGACCTGAGGTTGAACAGAATAGATTGAAGATACAGACAGAACTACAAAGACACTCAACCACCTCAACTCGACCAGTACCTGCAGATAGATTGGCAAGACAGGCTTAAATAGGTAAAGGAATACAACTTTAGATCAAGTCCAGGAAGGAGAATGTTCTGAACCACTTAGATAAATAGCAGGTTGCCCTCCACAATCTAAAAACAGAGAGGTAGTGAGACCCAAAAATGCACAGTGCACCCTGGGGGAGTGAAAGGGGAGGAATAGTCTTAAAAAACAAGGCAAAGGATATTGTTAATAGTGTACCAGGATTTAAAACCCACATTACTTACACTGCTCTGCTTAGATAGATTATATTCTGTCCCAGTTTGTCTACTTGCACTAGATCTGAAGACACAGACAGCTATCTCAAAAATAACAGAATATAGTACAGTAACCATATTTAATTTCCTATTAACTTAATCTGGAGCCCTGTATAACTTATACTGTTTTTCCATGACTGATCTTAGTTAAATCTGGTTTGTTGATTGCTGTTTGGTATTGAC